TTTGAAATGCTGCAGGGAGCAGGGGGCCAGCTGGGGGCTGCATGCACTGCCGCTTTGAAATGCTGCAGGGAGCAGGGGGCCAGCTGGGGCTGCATGTGGCATTTCAAAGAGACAGTGCAGCACTGCCACTTTGAATCACCCCCTCTTCATCCCCCCCCTTGCTGCCTCCTTCTGAAAGAGGCAATAAGGTGGGGGGAAGCAACTAGTCAACTAGAGTGTCAACTATCCGATAAGCATTTGCTTATCGGATAGTCGACTAGTCCACATCCCTACCCAGGGCTTGATGTCAAGAGGAGGTCTGGACTCTTTTCCCAACTCCTCCACGTTTCCTATGCAAAGCAGCAAAAGAATAATTTTATCTTTATGCTTCAGCTTCCTCATCAGCACAGGGGGTCTATCTACTTAGCTCTTCTCTAGCACCGAGTAGATAATCTCAAATTCGTTTTGCAAGGCTGTGAAGACAGTCTTTGTTTTTGAAATTTTTCTCCCACAAGAAACACATTTTATTCCAAGAGAAATTCAAATGAAAATGCTATATTCCAGAAACATAAGAATCAGACAACTCTCCGTGCAACTCCAAAGCTAGGCTGACACATGCAGACATCTCAAGTGTATGTACTTCTTTCACCTACCCAATCCCTGCTCTTCTCCATTTTTTAGCCTTCACCCCCTCACCTCCAGGAGGAATTTTTTCCCCTGCTCTTTTCTATTCTTCCACATCTAATTTCTCTGATCAACATGTAGGCAACCAAACATCCACTGAAGACACCAAAGCGCCACTGAGGGCACATTTAGACTACGTTTTACTTTCAAAAGAAGATATACAAATTCGGCGGGAATTTGCATATCTTCTTCCGATTGCTTATTCAAAAGTTTTTTTCTGAAAAAGCAAGCAGTCTAGAAGTGGTTCTTAGGGGGGGAAATGTTTTTCAAAAGAACCTGTAAACCTCAATTTTTGAGTAAGAAGGTTCTTTCGAAAAAAGAGGGTTTTTTCAAAAGAACCGCATCTAGACTACTTGCTTTTTCAACAAAAAAAAAACTTTCAAAAAAGTGATTGGAAGAAGATATGCAAATTCCCGCCAAATGTGCATATCTTCTTTCGAAAGTAAAACGTAGTGTAGATGTGCCCAATTAGGCACCCAATTTTGAGAAATTAGTTGCTATTTCTTTAAGAAAGGGGTTAACTTTATAGTGATTTTTCTTGTATATTTTACCAGATTTTGCATTATATTTTGTACAAGCAGAAATACCCGGCGTCGCCCGGGGAAAATATAGTAAAAGGTGTGATGAATGAACTACGTCAATTACATTAACATAGCATATTTTATTGGAAATACTTTTTCTCTTATCATATTACTTTAAGAAATTAACATAGCTAGTGCTGTGCTTACAAAACGCTATTGATTATAATACCCATTTTTGTGTGATAAAATAAAAGAAAGAGCGTTGAAAGAAGCCTAGTGGATAACAGATGAACTACTTAGCTCATAGCCAGAGGGAAAGGATCCCGTAGTTGCAGTTTATGTGACACGCTTAACAGAAGAGTCCAACAAATGCCCATGATCAAGCACTACTAAAAGCTAATCATCAGTGGGCCCAATGGGGGAACTGATTTCGAGATATAACCAATTCAGTTATTTAAGTTAGGAAATCAGTAGTATCTATTCAAAATTTTGTGTTTCTAGTTCTTACCGTTCTATAGATCTTTCGGGACAAACAAACAAACAAACTTCCTAAAATATTTATAAGATTAGTGTAAAAAAGCAACATTTATCCCTATCTTCTAGAAATTATTAACCACTGAAGTTGTTCCAGAAAATTACTCCTTTGGGGCATTGTTCCACTAGTCTTACTGGGGCACAGAGTGACTTTTCATTTTTTTATTCTGAACTCAGTACTAGTGTTCCCTCTAAGCTGCTGGGCAACACACTCCTCGGGTGATTAATCAGCCCCACCCAGTGAGAGGTGCAGGGCTGATGAATCACCTGTGAAGCTGTGCTGTTGCACAGCTTAGAGGGAACACTGCTCAGTACCACTAAGAGGCATGGATTTGGAGCATCCAGTTGCATGTGGGAAAAATCTTCTAAGCCAGCATTGAATCTGCACTGTTGTGCAAAATGGCATCACAAAGGAAAAATAAGTCATAACATTCCAATAGGTCTTTGAAGATCAAATAGGTGTTTAACCCTTTTTTTAAAGTCTCCCAAAGTGTGACCGCGCATAGTTTATAAAATTTAGAATGCCTCAGGTTATGGAAGCTACATTTTTCTGTAGTTTAAAACAATTCTGTGGTTGCTTAAATTTGGGCCCTAAAATTATTAGGCAAATGTCTCTAGATCTATATCCCAAATGACTCTGAACTGGGTGCACCCCCAACCCACAAAAATGGGAAGGAACATAGCTTTCAGGAGGGGGTTTTACGCTAGAACTGCAATAAAATATTGGCACTTTAATCAGTCAATTGGATGGAGATGAAATCCAGAGGCCTTCTCATTTTTATCTCACAGTTTTTGCTGCAATGATTGTTTCCAGTTAACAAGCTTTTTTTTTTTTTGAAGCAGCTGTTTCCAGTCTCCAGTAAAATACAGCAGATGGGTTGTGTGCTCTAGCCAAAGACACCAAATTTCTATCATTTTCATACAGTACTGCACTGACAGCAATGTCACATATGCTAAGAAAAAATGGAAATCCTACGTTTGTAATTTCTCCCACTGAACCTACCTTTAAAAGTTTGTATAATCCAAACTGAGAAATTTCTCTAGACTCCATGGCTACATCTACTCTATACACTACTTTCAGGGCCTAGGGTAGACATCTAGCTACGTGCCACAATGAAAAGTGTCTACGCTTCTAAAAAAAGGCTCCAGCAGAAAGGAGGCAGCAGGGAAAGGCTTCAGCTGCTCTCTACTTCCAGAGCCTTTCACTACGGAAAGAAAAGGCTTTTGCAGAGAGGAGGTAACACGGAAAAGCTGAGCTTTCTCCTCAATGTCTCTCCCACTGCAAGCCTTTCCCCACTCCCTGTCACACGAAGGGCTCTAGTAGTGGGGAGATAACAGCTTTTCCTCACTGCCTGCCCACTGCTGGAGCCTTTCCCTGTGGCAGAGTCCATCAGTGGACAGCTGGCAGTCTTTCTCCACATGTCTTCACCATCTGCGCAGAAGGGCATCAGCAATGGGGAGCTGATGGAACCTTTCCCTGCTATCTATCAGAGTCTTTTGTTCAGAAGGAGAAAGGCTCCAGCAGCAGTACACGACACTAAAAAAAAGGTATGTTCACGGACGGCACAGTTTAGACCAATGTTTCTGAAAGTTACTGCAGAAACACTTTCAGAAACACTTTAGCTGGCCGCCCCGGTTTGTTTGTTTATGGCGCCACAGCCACAGAGCCTCGCGGTTCCCATTGGCTCCGTTTCATCCTTCACAGCCAAGGGGAGCCGCGGGAAGCGACATGGGCTGGGACACTGCTTCCCACGGCTCCCCTTGGCTGCAAAGGATTAAACGGAGCCAATGGGAGAGGGGAGGTTCTGCAGCCACAGCGCCGGTATATACGGGGCAGATGATCGTTTTGTGGGGCCCCGGGCAGCATAATTCCGCGGGGCCCCCCTTGGCCACGGCGCATGCGCAGGGCTTTCTGAAGCGCGGGGCCCGGGGCGGCAGCCCCGTTCGCCCTGCTGTATATACACCCCTGGGTATATAAACAAACCGGGGCGGCCAGTTAATGTGTTTCTGAAAGTGTTTCCACAGTACACTTTCAGAAACACTGGTTTAGACAACTTGAAAAAGTTTAGGGCATGTGCTTGGCTTCATACTTATACCCATTAGGCAAGTATTTATTCTAGTGACTTAATGTATACCTCACCATTTACTCTGCTGTCTATATCCAGGGGGAGGGCAGGGGAGGGAATAGGGGGGCTCTGTTGGTATACACACTACATGCTGCCAAAAGAATTCTGTAAATTAAACGCACCCTAAAAGTTGTTATTGGTAAGTTAGTTCCTTTTAAAAAATGTTTAACCACTGTTGGTATAGTTACAGCATGAAACAAAAAACAACGTGATTCGTGCACCCTCTGCTGGCCTTGGAATTAACTAAAACTATTCAAACAACTATGCACCATCATATATAATAGATAACCCCAGATGCAAAAGGAAAGATGTTTTGGTATTTCTACAGAGCTATATGAACTGATACATATAAAAATGTGCTACAAAAGTACAGAACCATACTCAATAATTAAACTATTCACAGCAAATACTGCCTCCAACTGACTATTAAGCACATACTGCTAAGACTGAGATCAGTATTTTACAAGTTAACTTTTTAAAAAGCTAGGCATAACAAGTTTAACCTCTGCTCTAGCACAGGAAAATTGTTACACAGAAGAGAACAGAAGCTTTGGGGATAGGGGGAGGGAAGGAAGAGACTACTCAGAAGATGTTAAGAATATAAAAGATAATTAAAAGAAACTGTTGAGATTTTAAATAATATCCTTCAAATGTTCTATAGCTTCACTTGTTTTCCAGTTCAGAAACAAGGAACGTTATTTCTTTCTCTTTCTCTCTGAAATAATATAACTGAACAATGTAACGACTGTCAAATCTTAAGACGAAGTTTACCCTAACTACAAAATTGTAAATATCACAGAGGAGATTACCATTTATCAAGGATAGGTTTCAAAATCTATCTACCCAATAAAGTGCTGCACTGACTGAGGTCATATACATATACGTCCATCAAAGTTATACTTATTCACACCATGGATAACTCTTGCACACTTCCACACAACTCTTTGCTGAGGATGGAAAAAAAGTAAGCGCTCTCTATTATTTAATGCTGTAAGGTGAGTTTTAAAACAAAAACATAGCATTGGAGGATGGGAGACTTTTTTTCAAGGTAAGAATACAAATTCTAAATTGTTTTAATCTTTAGGATAATTTTAAAATATCTTGAACTGACTTTCTGTCTATGTAGACAACACAGCAAGGAGGAGAAAACCCTCACCTTATCATACAGCATCCATCCAATATATTTCAAGTAACTATCATTTAAGAATGTATCAGGATACATTTTCATCCAACTGCCAATTTCTTCAATGCAGATAGCCCGTATCTCAGGAATCACATCACTATAAAATTACAACACTGTGTTATAAACATATTTATAAATACCCAAAAGGTATCAGGTTAATTATTTACTTTTTCCAGCAGGGTATCAAGAGTTGCACATATACCTGCAACCCTGAGTAGCATCTTATGTATCCATTACTAACTTTTAAACATGTCTTTAGATCAACACAGCCCTCACAAGTATTATACAACAATATAACTATATTTGTTATTGTTTTTAAAAACTGGTTAGCTACACAAGTTCCTTGTTGCAATTATTTTGAGAGTATGAAAAAAGTCTTTCAATCATAACCTTATTATTCTCTTGTAAGGAGCAAGAATCAAACAAAGGAAGGGAGAATAAGCTTATATAATGAAGGGGTTACTTTCTAAACCTGAAGGAGTTCTTTCAAATAATTCAGCGCTATGTGCTGCTTCAGAACAAATTTCACAGTCCCTTGGACATTCATCTTGAGTTTAACCTGCACACTTCGCATGAAATTTTGTTGCAAGATGCATGTAGGCCATACTTATTTTTATTTCTTTCTATTCCTTTTTTAAGTGAAGAAACTTAGATTGTCAATTTTTCAGGGAAGGGACAGCAGACTGCTATGTGTTAGTACAACATGCAACTCGCCACAGTCCAGTTTTGATTAAGGCCTTTGGGTGCTATTCCAAAAGCATATAAATAATAAATACTCTTACCGATATCTCTGTAAGAATGTTCCTTTGAAAATAGCATTCATCATATTTTCTATTTCCAGTGGTTTCTGTTCATACTGAAAACACAAAAAAGACTTGAACATTTCAAGTAGGGAATATGATAAATCTCCTTTATATTACAGGACATTCATACCTAGGTAACCACATTCACGATATTATACTGAGTGCAAGCTCATACAGATCAGTGAGAAAAAAAAAAGAAAGAAAGAAAGAAAGAAAGAGAGAGATTTGGTTCATCTACAGTAAAATGAAATGTCGCTGGATATTGTCAAGGGGCGACAAGCTCTTGGAGGCACCTCAAACTTTTTCTCTTTGAACAGCCACCACATCTCTTTACAGAATGGCTCAATGGCCTCAGTTTATCCCCAAGACGCTCTATTCAGGGTATAACACCCCAACAGCCACAGTCCCTACACAAGCCTCTCCATTCAGCACATTCCGGCCCCACAGCCTCAGTCAATATACAAATCTGTCTAGTCAGGGTATTACAGCCCAATGGCCCCAGTCTGTGCACAAGTCCTTCTAATCAGGGTATTACGGCCCTGCAGCCTTAGTCAAGTCAGCACTGGTAAAGCTCCCCCCATGCAGGGGTATGTAAGGAGAGGATAGGGGGACCTGAGCCCTCCTTCTCCACCAGGTCCCAGTTAGGGATGTTAAATTTCGATTAATCAACTAATCGAGTAGTCGATGGAATTTCCATCGACTACTCGATTAGTCGATAAAGGGGCACACTCACTATCCCGCTGTGCCGCTCCCTTTGAAATACCCAAGAGCCATGAGCGGTTCTTGTACATTTCAAAGGGAGAAGTGCAGCAGCAGGGACACCTCTGCCTCTCCTAACCCCGGTGGAGATGGTGCTGGGGGGAACTGGCTAAGCACTCAGAGAGCAATTCCCCACCCTGGGCTACTTCCTACCAGATCCTGGCAGACATCCTCTCCATACTCTCACCCAGTCCTGTGGTTGCTCTGGTAACACCTCTCAGCCCAGCTGCCGCTGCTTGGTCCAGCTACGCTTTTTCTCTTGGAGCTCCTTTAGCATCTCCTTCCGCTTCAGCAGCCAACCCTGACTGAGCTGCTCCAGAAGCCTTTATAACCAACCTCCAGTTGGAGCATGCCCATCAGGGCTGTGGGGGTGGGACTCTCTCAGCTAAGGCAAGGTAACTCTGTCAACTACAGTGCGGGGTTGATACACTCTGTCACAGGTATCAATTATAAATCCAAGTTTTAGGTTACTTCACATAATATGTTGATTGAGGAAAAGAACCATGTTCCAGCAATACTTACGTCGGATCCGCAGTTACGAACGGGGCCGTTCCTCTCCCTGGTCTCCAGCAGACCAGCGAGAGGAAGCAAAGCGGCGGAACCCGTGGGCAGCGGACAGGGCTGTCCACTGCCCACGCGCTCCGCGGCTTGGCTCTGCTTTGCTCTGCTTTCCCCCCCCCCGTCCCCCTCTGGACGCCAGTTCCGACTTACATACAGATTCAACTTTAGAA